AATTATGGCAGTTCATCACCTTTTAGTCTCTGCAGGTGCTTGTCTACAGCAGGGCATCACACTTCCCACTGCTCTTTGCTTTTCCACCTGGGAGTAATTAACCTGCTCCCTTCTGGCGAGCAAAGCCCCCTCCACCTCTGGGAAGAGGCTTTAAGGATAATGAGAAAAAGATGATTAAAAGCTAGAAACACAAAAACCAAGACCCCCTGATTCAGTTCCTTCCTTGCTCACAGGTTTCCTGCGTGATGCTGGGTGAATCACTTACCTCTGTGATTCACCCAGCCCCACACTGCCAGAACAGCAGCTCCTTATCTCCCTTTGGTTTCTTCCTCTCTGGATGATGCCACAGAGGGGCAGGTTCCCCAAGGACCCCGTTTTGTGTCAGGGTGCCACATTGCAAGCGGTGGTGAAGTTTCTGTGGATGGGGAAGGATGGGTCACAGGGACCCCTCAACAGCAGGGCTGATGCAATTCCCTGTCTATAAAATGGGATTGTGATGATTCCTCTGTTCTACAGGGCTGCTGGTGGTACGTTCATATCAGCAGCCCCCAGTGACACACCAGCCCCAGGGTTTCCCAACATTGCACAATTGATGCAGTTATGTTTTTGCAAAACCTGGGTTTTCTCTGACCTGGAGCTAACACTCTTTCTTGCCTCTTGGAAGCAAGCAGGCAGCAGACGCGGTCTGACAGGGCAGCATTCCTTAATGAAGTTCTAAATGAACCGGGCAGCTCAACATACAAAATCAAAGTGTTTCCATTCAAAACCACCAAAAATATTTAGACATGACCACTTTTTCCCCAGCCAAAACTGCTTGTGGGGTTTGACTTGGATTCACAGGCTGCTCGAGTGAGCCCCAAACCAGCGGTTTAAGGACAGATCAGAGTGGGGGTGTTTTGAAATCACTTAGCTGGTTTTAGGTCTGGCAGGCTTGTTACAAATGCTGGTGTACCGAGCTTGGCCACAAGGGTGCCAAGCGATTAAAATCTATGGCGAGCTTTCAAATACTGTAACACACCTTGAAGGGTGATTAAATGTAAATCTTTCCTATTGTTATTAAACCCTGGTAGAAGGAAAGCTGCCATAAGGAAATAGTCAACTCCTGCCCCCCTTATCCGACATGGCTCTGATCCTGATGGTGATTTTGCAGGTCCTTTTATGCACATCCTCCCTCCCCTGCTCTCAAGACCAGGCCTGAGGATCTCTGTCAGATTGCTCTGTCAGATGAGACAAGGCAGGATGGGGAAGTCCTGCTGCCAAGTGGAGAGAGAGAGGGATCCCCAGGCTTCCCAGAGAGGTTCATATCCCCCCTGCTGAGTCAAATTTAGCCTAAGCAATGGCACTGCTGCAGTCCCACATGTACTTTATGGAGCCTCAGTGGTATTCAGGCTCCTTATTCCCTCTAGGAAATAAGTGCCTAAACACAGCCCAGGATCTGGCCCTGTCCTTACCTCCCTTTTAACTCCCAGCTGGCATTTTGCTTCCTAATACACTAAGACATCTTTTAAATTCTCATCCTTACTGCAGGGCACTCCCCAAACCTTCGTTCTTTTGACATGTGATTGATGTAAAAACCCAACATGTTTCCATAATGCTGTGATGCCTTTCAAGTCCTTTGTTACACACGGGTTGCCTCTGCGTGCAAAATCACACTGGCACAAAGAAAGTACAGCTCTATCCTACCGGAATAACTTGAAAGCAAATCTCCTTTGGGAAAGGAATTATTTTGAGGCTTACCTATGGGAAATGCTGACTCTGGCACCAGTGAGCAGCTCAGTGGCATCTCACTCACCTTTTGCTGCTCTCACATCAGAAGAAGATGGGAGAAGACAAGGCACGCTGTAAGCCAGCTAAGGGGGTTAGAAAGAGCTCAGTGGCCAATTCAGAAACCAGAAGCTCCAATGAGTTGTGCAAACTCAGTCAAGGAGCATTTACTGCCCTGTTGCTTTGACGAGGAAGCTGTGCTCCATCAGCTGTAGCTGTTTGCTTTGTTGATGCATCTGCAATTCTTCCTTATGCTTTTTGTATTCCCCAATAATCCCCTGCTGGTTTCTCACACCTCTTTTTAACTCAGCAAGGGAAATAAATCCTGGTTGTCCTTATCATTGGTGCTCAGCTGGATTCTCCAGCTCCCCCATGCCAAACTGCCTGAAGCAACCCCCTATAGCCCCAGTTTCACGAGGAGCTCCTCTGCTGCAAGGTGCCTTTTGTGCTGGGAAATCTCTAACTCTGTGATAAATTCTGTTTTCATTTGTTGGCACACAGTTCAGTGGCAAAGTCTTCAAAAGAGGTTATTGTTGGTATTTTACTTCGTTATGGGTCGTTTCTTGCAACACAACCAAACAGGAAGAAGATTGCTCTGGCATTGCCCTTTGTCTCCCATCTTACAGTCTGTAGACAGCACCTAACACTTGTTTTCATCTCATTTTTACCAGAATGAAGTTAGCCTTCATCAAAAGACAATAAAAGCGTGTTCTAGAGGAGGGAGAAGATCCTACTGCTTTATTTGGCTGAGAGGCACATAATGAATCAGTTCAGCTTTACCATTTCTCTTAAGGCCAAGTTTGGAAAGGCATTAACCAGACTAGTCCTATCTGCAGCTACCAGGATGGGGCTGAGCGCCTCTAACCAGTGCACCTGCATCCATGGAAGCAGGATGGGTTTCTTGTCAGTGCTTTTTTGGGCTGCAAAATTTCTCACTTTGGATTTTCTTATGCATGTTGGTTATAAAAATCACACTTGGAAACGTGTAGCGATGCTGGAATGAAGTCTAAATGCTTTCCCATGCTGCCAGAAAGGCTAGGTTGTGGTTGAGGCCACCAGCTGTGCACAGGACTCATGGCTTGAGATGAGGGGGACAGAAGGTGCTGGTGCGGCTGGGAGTGTCTCTGGTTTTGGCCAGCAAAAGAGGGTTGGCTGTGCCCCATGCACAGCTCTGGGTGCCTGTAGCCTGCACCCCTGGCCCCAGGGATGCAGCTGAGCTGCAAGGCAAAGCTCATGGATGGCTCTTGGATGCTCTTTGCAACCTCCTGCATGCATCCCTTGGGATGATGCCCTCTGCATGCTGCTTTCACAGTGGCATAAGCCTCAAGCAAAGCCACCCCCCTCCCCAAAATGCCTATGGAAGAAACAGGGGTATCTGAAATAACAAATTAACTGAATTTTGGAACACCAAGCTTCCACGAGCAGCTAAATGATCCTGTTGCACTTTGTTATACCAAGTACCAAGAGCAGACAGCGAGCTGACCTTCATCACTGCAGCTCGATTGATCAGTTTTACCTTCTCTGAGGACACTAAATCTGTGTGTTGTCTTGGGTTTTTATTGTATTTCCTCCACGTGTGTGGGCCCAGCCCCAGGCTGTTGCTGACTCTCATCCCACCACACAGCATCTCCCTACATGGGAGAACAGCGTTTACTCACGTTCCTGTGTGTGTGGAGTGGTAAAATATCGGACTTAAATTTTTCATGACATTCATAGGAGTGGTTATGGAGGCAAACAAGATTACAGCAAGTACTACATAAAAGCTTGTTTATGCAGGGAGGGAAAAGAAATCAAACTCAGACATGTTTGCAAAACTGCAGCAGAACCCAAGGGGATGGAGGTTTTTTCTAGTTTTTCCTCTACTTTTCTTTCTTTTTCCTTTTCCCCACTATTTTTATTGCAGTTGCTGTTAGAGCTCCCAGCTGAGTGCATTCTCAGTGCAAGGCTGGCTCCAGCTGTGGGGGATTTGGGGATCTGATGATAGAGGTCAACAGATCACAGGTGGTTTCATAATCAAAGCACCACTAAACACACACCTGCTTGTGTGAGCAGCTCACCTGTGCCTGCACTGCTGCCAGGTAGCACTTGTGCAAAACCAGTGGTGCCACCCTGCTTGTCCTTGTGCACGCTCCTTCACTCCTGCTGCAAGCCTCTTCGGGTGCCCTTTGCGAACTCCTGTCTGTGTGGCTTTACACGGCCCTTTGCATACCCCTTGGGATGCTCTTTGCACACCCATTGGGATGCGCTTTGCATGCCCCTTTGCACACATGTTGGGATGGATGCTCTTTGCACACCCATTGGGATGCACTTTGCATGCCCCTTTGCACACCTGTTGGGATGGATGCTCTTTGCATGCCCCTTTGCACACCCATTGGGATGCACTTTGCATGCCCCTTTGCACACCCGTTGGGATGGATGCTCTTTGCACAAGTCTTTGCACATCCCTTTGCACACCCCTTGGGATGGATGCTCTTTGCACACCCACTGGGATGTGCTTTGCATGCCCCTTTGCACACCTGTTGGGATGGATGCTCTTTGCACAACTCTTTGCACATCCCTTTGCACACCCCTTGGGATGGATGCTCTTTGCACATCCCTTTGCACACCCCTTGGGATGCTCTTTGCACGCCCCTTTGCACACCCCTTGGGATGCTCTTTGCACGCCCCTTTGCACACCTCCCTAGTGTTCCATGCACACCGCATCGCACCCCGTTGCACACGGCTCTTTCTTTTGCACACGGCACCCCCCATTCGCAGGGCACACGCACCCGGCTCTTTGCACACTTCCCGCCCCCCCACACGCGGGCACGCTCCCGTCCGGCCGCAGCGGGCTCCGCGCAGTGACGGCGGCGGCCGCCAGGGGGCAGCCGCGCTCTTCCCGCCGCCCCTCGGGCCGCTGAGGGAAGCCCCGGCCCCGCTTCGCTCGGGGGGTCCGGCCGCAGCCCACCGCGAGTGAGCACAAACTTGTGCGGGCCGCCAGCGCTGGGGCTCCGCAGCGAAGGGCGCACGGCAGCCCCCTGCTCCTGAGGGCGGCGGGCCCGGGGCAGCGCGCATCGCTCAGGGCGCGGAGGGCACCTGCGGGCCTGCCCCGCGCCGAGCCCCTGCCCCAATCCCCTCAGGTGAGGCTCCGCCCCGCCCGGTCGGTCCATCTATCGCACCGCTGCAGCCCCCGGCTGCCCCAGGGGAGCGCTGCTGCTGCGCCGCGGCGGGCGGAGCCCGCTGCCCCCCGGGGCGGCGATGCGGCGGGGCCGGCCGTGAGCGCGGGGCCGGCGGGGAGCGGGGACACCCCCCCCTCCCCTCTCCCCTCGCCTCCCCTCCGCGGGGCGCCCGGCCCCGCCGCCGGACGGGCAGGCGCGGGGGGAGTGGTTAACGGCTCCGCCGCGACACCCCCGGCCCCCCGCCCCGCTGAGCCGCCCCGCTCCAAATAAATCAGCACCATGACTACTTCTGGGCATGGAACAAAGAGGATGCTCTCCCGGGGCCCCGCGCTGCTCCTGGCGCCGCTGCTGCTCCTGTGCCGAGGTAAAACCGCGCTCCGCCGCCGCGACCCCGGCCCCTGCGTCCGCTTTGGGCTTTTTCCCTCCCCCCCCAAAAAAATTCTTTTACTTTATTTTCTCCTCTTTCCAGTTTTGTTTATGGCTGTTTTCCCCCTCCAGCCCTCCCACCGACGTGCCCACGGAGGGTCCCGGGTGTCCCCCTACTGCGCTGCGCGCCCGCGGGTGGGACATACGCAGACCCCATCTCCTGGGCGCACGGAACTCCTCCATGCACCTCCATAGCCCCCTCCGTTGTTTGCACAACCGTGGCCCTGTCCCCTCCCCGCTCCCCATGCGTGTCCCTAGCCCCCTGCGCTGTCTGGGGGTCGCTACCGGGTTGGAGGGAAGAAGGGAAAGTTTCAGGTGGCCGGAGCGTGGGTCTGGGAAGGGTCGTGGGGTTTGGAGCTCCCGCTGCTGCTCCTCGCCGCCTCTGCCTGCCCTTGGTAGGGGGGAGAGAGATGTACGGGGTTAAATCTCGATAAACCAATACTTCTGCCGCCTTTCCTGCGCTTTAATTTTAAGGAGAGTGGGTTTCAACGGGCTGGCAGGGAACGGGATCAGGCCCTGAGGGGAGCTGAGGTGCGATCCCTTAATTGCGGCAAGCTGCGAAGCAGCACGCCCCTGGCTGGAGGGGGGGAATATGAGTTCAGGGAGCACAGCAGCACTCTCTTTCATTTTTCCTTATTTTTCACTATTTTTTCCTTATTTTTCCCTATTTTTCCTTATTTTTCCCTATTTTTTCTTTATTTTTCCCTGTTTTTTCTTCACTCCCTCCCAGCTGAACTCGGGATCAGCCCTTTGGGTCCTAGGTGCGGGGGAAAGGCTCACCCCAGGCTGGCAAAGCGAAGCGCTGTCCTTGGGAAAGTCTTTTCCAGGACTTCTCTCAGGGCTCGTTTTCCTCCTCTTGCTCCTATGAGCTCCTCGGCAGATGTTGTTCTTAATGAACAGGGACTGTTAAAAGCAAATTAATTAAGGTGCATCGGTGCTGAAGTTGCTCAGCCACTCGCTTGCCTTTACTGCTGCTCGGGACGGTGCTTGTGTTCGGCCGTAATGCGGAGCCTGCGCTGCTGGGGAAACTTCACCGGGGCTTTAGAAATATGCCTAAATGCAAGGGGTTTAGGGAAAAAGGAGCGATCCCTGGGATCGCTGCTGAGTGGTAGCGGCAGCTGCTGTTCCTCGGGAGAGCACAGGGAATGCACTGCGGTAAGGAAATGTTTTGGGAAAGGTTCCTGCGGGGAAAGAGGAGGAACAATTTGCTAGGACCGAGGCGTCCGCCTCGTGGACACACATGCGATGGACGCAAGGGGGTCCTTGCTCTGCTTGCCGTAAAAAGCACCCGTTGCCTGTCGGCTGCCTCCTTTGCCTGGGTTTGTGCAGTCACGGGGGCACTTGGGAGCCTTGTTGAGCAGGACATGGGGACTGGGGTGCAGGGCACAGAAAGGGGCACCAAGTAGGGGACACAGTGCATGAGCTGCCCCGGTGGCTTGCTGTTGCCAGTGCAATGTCCTCTACTCCTTTTATTCGAGGAGAGTTAAGAGCAGCAGAGGAACAGGGTTTCTGGTGGTATTTTTTTATTGCTTTGACACATTAATGATAATCTTTTCTCTGATACTCCCCCCCCCCTTTGCCTCCTGTGTGGGTAGCTACCATGGTGAGATTGGGCTGTGGGTGTAATTCTTCCAGCGCTCTGAGTGCTTAAGCATATGGAAACCCACTTTGAAAACAGTTTGTGGTTGCAAACCCGCCGTCGTACCCATCCCTCTCCCCTGCTCTCTGAATGCCTCCCTGCACAATGTGCGCGTTAGAAGCTCGCAGTGTGCTGTCACCTCAAGCTGTGAATGTCCCCAGCCTGTGCTTCTTCCTCCTCCCCAGGCTGTAGTAGCATCCCTTTGCTTTTGTAGCAGAGTGCTGTCCCTTGCCCTATCCCACCCCTGCCGTGGACCGTAGCAACATCTGCGTGTGGAGACGGGGTCTGGGAGCTGGGGAAACCTCTTCCGAAAGAGGCGAGTGGTGGCAGAGCCCGGGAATGCCTCCCTCTAGGGCTGTGCTGACCTTCCTGCGGCTCGCTGTGCTCCAAGTCGCCTTTCTCCTCTGGATTACAGGGGTTAACGAAGCGCATCTTGGTTTGGGTTGTTGCAGCCGGGAGAGACACCTGCATGAGTCATGCCGCGGTGCTGCCATCTCCGCAAAGCTCCCAGCTCACACAGACGGTCGTGTTGGGCACTTGCCATTTTTCTCTATCTATTTGCTTTTCTCTCCCTTCCCCCTTGCTGGAGCTGGCTCTGGGCAGGCTGCGTTTCGGGGACTGGAGGTGCAGCGGTCCGAGTTCCTCCAGCCTCTTCAAAGCGGGTGGCGTTTGTTTCGCCTGTCAGGCAGGTCCCCTAAATAGCTTTGTGAAGGTCCAATTAAGAGATCACTCTCCTGTCCCCGGGTCTCTGGCGGCCTGGCTGCTGGCGTGTATGCGGCTGTGAGCAGAGGGTGTGCGTGTGTTTGGCAGCCAAAGGCCGCTCACGCCGAGCTCGAGATGTCTCTTGCTGGCAGCAGGCCCCTGTTTGTTGCTGGCATCTAGGCAGGGTTTTTGGCCACCTTCCTCACTGACGGTGCGGAGCCGTCTCTGAGGTTATATGAATAGGTGTCCCTGCATGAATTACTTGGATATTTTGTTTTCCTGCCTGGTGCTGTCTCACTGGCTTGCTCCTCTGCCCTGCACCCCAGAGCAGGTATGGGAACACAGGGCTGGCTGCTGATGGTGTGGGTATGGCAGTGCAGGGATGGGGTATGCAGAACTGATGAAAACCCAACTACTTCAGGCCCTGTAAGATGCACTTGGGCTGTCATGATCCACGTCTGAGGAAGGACCTGTGAATTGCTTTTAGACTGTGCCTCCAGCAAGGTGTGGGTGGAGAGACATTATGCTTATTTTATTATGTGTCCCTGTATCACTCTACGTAATATGCAGGCACTTTTTATGCAGAGGCTCTTCAGGAACAAAAATGAAAGACCTGTGTTATCTACTGTATAATAGATTTGCAGAATGTGATCATGCAAACTGTTGAAATGTAGGTTACTTTCCCCACATTAGTGCAGATTACAATGTTTTATGCAATGACTGTTCAAACTGATGTGATTTGAGGGACAGTGGGATGGGGAAGGCTGAAATTACACTGCTTCTTGCTCCTGCATCCATTAGAGCACTGTATTTCAGATACTCTGATTTAACTTCTCATCAGTGGAGCTGCTCTGGATTTATGCATTGTTACTGCAATTGACATTAGGCTCTCTGGGAGTGCAGGGGGCAGCTGTGTGACTTGCCCTGTGCAGCATTTTTCACTTCAACATCTGCCATCACTGGTGTTGCAGCTCCTCTGAAATGGGGAAGCCCACATCGCTCACTGGTTTGGGGTTTTGGTTATTGTCTTCAATTTGTCAGGCTTGGTTGCAAAGCTCCATTCACTGATACCTGACTCTGTGGCTGATCAATAGAGTCTGCTGAGGTTTGAATGCTGAAATAGTTACATTAAAAAAAATAAAAATCAATAAAGTGCAATTAATTTGCTGTATTTTATTACTGGGAATGATAGGCAGCTCAAGGCCTATTATCTCACATTTAAAGCAGTTTAGTGTGGCAGGGAAGGTACAAGCCCAGGAGCAGCTGTAGGAGGTCAGAGCAGGGGGTTGCAGAGGCTGGCACACGGTTTGTGTCTTGGGAAGGATTTTTGGATCAAGGAAGCATTCCTGAGCCAGAGATGGCATCTATTTATTTAACTGCTGTGATGGGTTTGCCATCATGGATTTGATCCCTCTTTGAACCCAGGCAGATGTCTGATGTACACAGCATCTCTGGGCAAGGACTCCCTTGTTTCTAAGAGTCTATGCACAATGGAGCATGGCAGTGATTTGGGCTGCATAGGGTTTTGCCACTGATGCTGATGGGATGGAGATTTTTACCCTGGTGTCCCTACACTAGGTCACGGTCCTCCTGCCCTTCTTAGCTCCTCAGAAATGTGCTGTGAAGCCAGGCTGCTTAGGAGACCTGTGCTGGCTGCTGTCCCGGGAGGGTTCCTTTGCTGAAAGGTAGAGGAAGCAAAGGGTATCTTTACTCATAGTGTTGGGTTATGGCAATTTCTAGTGGTGCTCTTCCCAACCTCAGCTGTTGAGGCTGATGTGAAGCACGAGTTCTGCCATCATGGAGTGATGGCTTCATCTCACAACGTGTGTCACTCATGCAGGTGGCTGCAGACCTGAGCTGTCTCGGAGGTGTGAGCAGGGAGGAAAGGGGAGGTGGTAATTTCCTATGTCGTGCAGGAAGGAAGCAAAACTAAAACCTTCTGGCCTTAATAAACTTGCTGATGAATGAGAAGCCATCCCACTGAAATAAATACTGTCAGCTCAACAAATTAAATTCACTGAATTTGATTCCCTCTTCTCCCCCCACCTAAATATAACTAATGTTTGTTAATGACAAGCAGTGACTTGATTTGTTGGCATAGCATTAGCACTTACCTCTGTCAGTGGCTCAGCTGATGCGCTGGCATGTGGTGGTAGCAGAGATGCCTTCCCAACTACAGCTGTCAAATCCTCTCGCATTAAGTGCTATGGAGGCTGGGGAGTGTGAGTTACCATGTGGTGCTCTAGATGTCGTGGAAGATACTTCGCTTTCATGCTGTTGGGAGTTTCCCAGCTGGCATTTCAGAGGAAGCTGTTCCCACGTGAGCTTGGGCAGGCAGAAATTACAAGCAAAGAGGTCTGATGACTGAACTCACAGGGTGGGCATGGGTTGTTTGGTGTATGGCTTTCCTTGGCTATTTCCATTCACCTCTGTAATGTAGAGTGCTGCAATGGGAAGTAACGCAAGTGCTGCGTGGAGTGTCTGGGGTGGATAAATTCAAAGTGGAAGGACTTGGCTGTTTGCACAGTACCTTCCAGAGTGGTCTTGTAAATATTAACATCTCTTCCACACTATCCAAAATTTCTCTTGCTGCACAC